TGAGGGGGGGGGGGGGGTGTTTGAAAAAGCCCAGAGCTTTTCTTTCTTGACTATAGAAACCAAAATTTGGGTACACCTGTATAAGGAAGTTAGGTGATCATAAAAGGAAAAAAAATGGCCTGCCCTGATTGATTGGTTGATTTTGATTTATAGGCCACCCTTCCCTATGCAGGGCTCAGGGCAGTGAACAACATCTCGATAAATAGTTTTACAGATCCGATTAAAAACAGTGAACAGTAACAATTGCAAGCCTATTCAGATGGCAGTTAAGAATCAATTGCATCCTACCCCCATGGGGAGAGGAGATATGGAAGGGGCCAGGCTCGATGACAGACTGTTGCTGTCCTCAACCATGTGATGAAAATCCACAGATCCTTCCCAAAACAGGTTGCCAATCCCTAGAAAAATTTTCATTCAGTGATAAGAGCTAAAATCAAATCTGGTGCAATAGTCTTTTAAGTTTAAAACAGATTTATTTTTTAAAGACTATTGGCCTTTGTTGCTGAATGTCAGATTTCTAAATAAATAAATATACCCACAAAACCTAAACAAGGGATCCAAGAGGTTAAAAAAAAGTGTATAGCTTTCATTAGTTTAAAGTGTATATTTCTGTTTAGAAAATAAAGTTCATGGTGAAATAGCAAGGAAGCAGAGGGTATGTTTGATTTACGGCCTTTGATATCACAGATCTCAGATTCAAATACCTCAAGGGCATCTAAGGACATAACTTAATATATTTTATCCACTTTTAAATGTCCTTGAATTGTGAAGGAGGTCCTAATGTGATGAACACCCATTTCTTAAAGTTGCTTATTTTCCTTTGGCTCATTTCTTTTAGCTGTGTTAAAGATCATGGAAAGCGTGCCTTAATAGCAGAGGACCCAAACGTGTCACTTTGAGGGGAAATTAAAACATGAAAATAGAAAAGCTAGGCATATTTGTGTTTGTGGTTGGATTAATTTTACTGTTTGATTTTGACTTTCAGATTCTGCTTGATGAACTTTCTTCCACTAAACACTGGGTTTCCATGCATGTTTCAGACCATAGCGGATTCCACTACCGCCAGTTTTTATTAAAGTCCTTGATTGTCAGAACTGTGACTGACTATACTGTTCAGATGCATAATCAGCCAAACAATCAACAAGCACCCAGTCTTCCAAAAGCTGAAGAAACTGATGAAGCAGAGGCTGCCTATGTGGAAGAACAAAGGCCGGATCACCCTTTTCTTCTAAAGGAAGAAGCAGAGCTCTGCACTGATTTAATTAATAGTTATCCAGGGCATGAAACCCTATGGTGTCACAGGTAAGGAAATGTATTCAAGGATATGGGTCTGAAGAGAATGTTTGCAGCTTAGATCAGACATATTTCTCCAAATCCCTGCAGGCTTTTAAAAAATCGGGGTGCTGGCGGACAGTGGCTTGTAGCGATGTGGAGAAAATTTCTAGTCTGCATGATGAAAGGCATTTAGGAAGCAGTTTAAAGTGTCTTTCTTGGAGCAGTCTCTGTGTATGGAGTGTTAGTTGTTGTTGATTTATTCTATTCTGTTTGAGGGGTAATGCTTACCTGCGAAAAAAAGCTTTTCGCTTACAGCATGATACAGGTTTTGTTTTGATGTTTGATACCAAACCAAAGTGGTGTTACATTCTCTGTTGAAGCCACTAGAGGGTGGCTTTTGCAAGATGGATCTGTTGATAATCAGTATTCTTTCCTCTCATTTTAAAGAACTTGGGATGCAATAAGGAATGTTGTTTGTGATGGGCAGATAATGGGATGGGTTAAATATATAAAAATCCCCAGGGTATTTATTTAAGTATTTCAGAAACAGGGAACCAGTCAGAGGAAGTAGAATGGTTAAATAATAAAAGCAGTACTAAAGAAGGTTTTGAGAATTGCAGAGAAACGGATATAATTGTTTCAATCTCCACTGTAGAAGATGTGAATACAGTCCCTTTGTATACCACCCACCCACTGTCACCAACAGACCCCAGCCAAGCTCTTTCCAACTTCTCTTTTCCATGAAAGTTGTAAAATAGATAAGTGAGTAAGAGGAACAAAGAGTTCTCTATCCCTATCACTCTCTTTCTCCACACCACCGCCTTGAACGCTGTTTTGGCTGTGTCTGAAGCTTCTATTAACCTTACAAAACATACTCCCTAGGATGTCTGATGTTAGTGTCAGATGTTCTCAGAACTACATTTCCCAGGGTTCCTGCCACTTTGATACTTCCAGACCAGCATTCAAGACACTAGGGAGACAGGACGAGACAGTCCAGGATAGTGAGGGATTCTTCCATCCATCCTTCCATCTTCCTTCCTGCCTTTGTCATAGTCACAGCCTCCACAGGTAAGTATAGCCAGGATAGTTGAATGGCTCGGTGGGTGGGGAGAGATAGGAGAAGGAGGACTGTTGGATAACATCTCCTCCAGATGAAGGGTATTTCTCATATTGTCTCTTGTGGTAGTGAATCACCTAAATACCAAGCCATGACTCTTATGATACTTACAGTGAAATCCTGATCAGAATTACTTCCCAAGTCCATTGAAGGCAATGGGCTTAGAAGGGTGCAGTTCAGTTTATGATTGCACTGTTATTTTCAGCTAGTAATAAATTGGATAGTTTTCAGTTCCCAAGAAATGCAGAGATTTTAAGTGATAGCAAATTTTGTATGAGCCACAAAAATCTAAGTTGGACATAAAACCTTTATTTTTCTAATGCTTAACAAGATGTAAAGCAATCTACATTGAGTTTAGGGAGAAAGGGACAGAAATATTTTCTTTGATCAGTCATTTATGTTCTTAGGCATGCTAAATGAAGTCTGACTTTTTTTTCTGACTTCTCTTTGAAGACGGCACGTGTTCTACCTTCAGCACCACTTAAAGAACAAACTTGTACTTCCAAGCACCTGGGCAGTGGCTGCAGACAGCAGCGATGGAACTCTGAATAACACTCACCCTGGTGGTGCCCTTGGTCATGTGACTCAGGCCATGGATATTGATGGCTTGATTGAATCCAACAAACAAGGCTACACTCAAGAAATCAAGCGCCTGAAACGTGCTCCTCTGCAGGACTCTGTCAATCTGGAAGCAGAATACAGGTTCATTGACCAGGTTCTATCAACATGCAGGGATGTAGAACAGGCAAGGTTTGCTGGTGCATACAGAAAATGGCTGGGTTCTTTTCTAGGTCAGTGAAGGAGGAAATTTTTTAAAAACCCTGCAGGGTCCCTTGTTTAGTGCAATATTCTCTTTTTGAAACACAGGTGCACATCATGGCTCTTGGCACTTTCCACCCCTTTGATGTTGTTGTCAGTGCTGAACTTCATCTGCTAATGATGGCTTTAGTTTTATTTATATATATTTTTAAAATGTCTTGATGTTAATCATTAAAATTTCTTCTGCACTTACATTTCTGTAAAGGGTAACTACATACCTGTCCTTCCTAGTTTTAATATAAACTTGAAAACAAAATGTCCCTTAAATTCAGATGGATAAGATATTTTTCTTATATCATTGCATTGCCTTCATTGCTCTACCACTCTTCTGTAAGTGATCAGGCTATAGTCGACCTATAGCTGACTATAGAGTTCAGTGTTTCCAATGCACATTTGTATTGCTCTGAGGACATTCCAGTACTATAACTCATTTTTGCATTGTAGTGCCAGTGAAGTATAGTTCATGCAAAATTACAGGAGAGTTCTGATAAGACTGATCTATCTCTGCCTTATACACACACACAACCCACCCACCCCAGGTGTATGGCTATGTAAAACTCTTCATTACATATCATATTTTTATTTATTTTCCTTTCATCAAGTCAGTGTTATTATGTATATTTCCAAATGTATTGTGAACACTACAGATTTGTACAGCCCTTCATAAGTGACATGCTGTAGACAAATCACTACAGATATTTAGAATTAAAAGAGGTTAAGGTGACTGGCTTTATTGAGTTTAAACAACAAAGTAATGGTCCTGTGGCCATGCTGTCATTGAGAAGGACTATTACGTTCAGTCTCTTCTTCCTGGTAGCCTTTTACCATTATTTAAAAATCTGTCAAACATAGACTGGGTGTAGAGGCAATTAATTTTCCTTCTTTTACTGGTTTCCTACATTTGGGATTTTGAAACTATCATAGTGCTACCATGCAACACTTTTACTCTTGATGCATAGGTTCCAGTTTGAAGCTCTGTTTCCTCCAAAGCTCACACAAGGCTCATGTATTAGCAGGATTCCTTGTTGATGTCATTGTGTGTTTGGTGGGGGTTTGACCCAGAGCACACAGAATATGGACGTTCTTTGTGTACAAGGAACACTTGTACACTACAGGGCTCCATTTGTCATGATGGAACCAGTGGTACTATGTGTATGTGTGTGCACATTTTCTCAAAGCAAATACTGCTTGTTTAGAAATGTATAATTTTACAATGTGCTTGCTAAAATAATAGTTTGCTCAAGTTTCTCACCCAAGCTGTCAACTGGGGTGGCTCCAGATATTGAAGAAATGTTTCCATTCACAATCTTTGTGCCTGTTTTCTTTGCACAAAGTGGAAATCTGCATACTGCTGCTTTTCTAGGTAAGAAACTAGTACAGCAGCTTGATTCTGTTGTCCTAAAGGGTAGCTTAAATCTCATGTAAGTATTGGAATAAATTAGTTTGCCAAATGAAGAACAGTAATATTTCTTTAGTCTCATAAAGCCTGACTTTAATTGGAGAGGCTTTGAAATAAAAGGAATTGGCCATCTAGGAATAGGTGTTTTTTCCAGCAGATAAATAGTTCCTAGTTGTAGCTAATCCATTCCCCAAAAGTGTAAAATATTTCAGGTTTGGATTTTTAATGTACAGTTGGATATTATTAGAAATACCAGAGTAATACAGAGAACGTCATCTTCCAATGTAGTTACATTTTACTTTTACAACATCATAGGGCATAGTCTGCTAAGCTCTGGGGTTGGTGCATTCCCCATTCATTTTGAAGGGGTCCCATGAGAGTCCCACGCAAACCTCATTTAATTTGGTGAAAGATGTGCAACACCAGCCCATAGTGGATTTTAGTCTGTTTGTCATCCCTCACTTTTTGGAATTCCTGCAGTTTAGCCGTATAAACGTACAATAGAGAGAGAAGGATATGTGAAGTGGGAATTCAATAAAGAATGTTGTTCGTGATGGGCAGATAATTCCCTCTTTGCTTGAGCTGGATTGATTTTATGAGAGCTTTCAAAGATAATAGTGAAACGTGACTTGAAATCCATTTTTGCTTTCTGTTTGATTTTTAAACTGAAGTCCCAGCTAGATTCCCTGGAGCTGTACGTAAATAGAGATAGCTCCGCTTATTAAATTTGGCAGCCGTTCCATTATCATAGATGTAAGGTCAAGCTCTGCCCTCAGATACGCTTTTGAACTTCTCATTAATGGCAGTAGGAATCGCTTACGGTGAAATGAAGATGAAGTTCCAAGACTACAATCAACTTCTAATAGTGATGGCTGGTTTTACATTTGTCTTGGTAGCTTACAAAATGTAGAAGAAGTTCTTAAGAATAGTATAGCTGGAAAAGGTGGTTGTGGTTTTTAAAAAAGATTTATGGAAATATTCTAGTGACTTTAAACAATTCCAGTGCAAGCTAAAAAGCAAAATAACCCCCCACTTTTTTGCAAGTAGGATCTTTTAGAATAAGGGACCTGAAAACAGGTGGCTCATAGCAAAAAAATGCAAGATCTTAAAAAAACTACAAAGCTGTCACAACCTAATATTTTTTCTAATGGCATACTTTGGACGTCTTATGTAAATACTATGAGATCATTTCTTAGGAATATATTTTCAAGTGTGAATGTTTGTGGCATCTTGTAACTGAGAACTGAGAAGTGTGACCACTTAATTTTAATTTAACTCTTTAAAAAAGTCTTTGATTGGGAAAAGGCTATATAACCAGGAGTTCCATTTATTTAACTGTGCCTCGAGGCTCTGGTGATTACCATACATTAAAAGTCACCAAGCACAGCTCTTCAGTGCTAAGTAGTTCAGAACTGAGCATTTAGTATGTCAGAGGTGAAGATAGTCAAACAATAATTAAACCACTGCACTAGTGGGGAAACACCTGACTTCATCTGTTCAGCTCCAAGCACTTGTTCATTCTTGCCACCAAAAATTACTCAGTACTACACTGTGATGTGTATTTAAGGATTCAAGGAGTGTTACCTTTTCTCTTTCTTGCACTGTAAGGTCTATAAGCGAATGCAGTTTTGCTTTCTCCTCCTTTTCCTTGTGCTGGATCAGGTCTTGCTGCGGTATATTTCTGGTGAAAATATTCTGGTGGCTGTTTGCAGATATGGTATGTTTGGAGCAGGCCCATCCTCCTGCCTCTGGCCTCAATGCCATGGCAGAGCTGGGCTGTTGGACCTCACCCAGATGTGAGATATAGCCCAGAAAAGTGGGGGTTGGATGAGGGCCAGTGCTAGTTGAAGTAACCCTGTGGGGAAGCTTGAGGTACTCCTGGGGAATGGTGTGATATCCTGGAAGCAACAGGACACTGCTGAGCTGGTCACCATAGAGACAAGGCCCTCAAAGATCTTGAAGTCTTGTGGTGCCAGGGATAAGTAGATGGGGCTTATAACGAATGCTAAGAGCCATCTAAACCCTTGCAATCAGAAGCCGAGAAGAAAGCATTGTGCTGACTCTCATCCAGGCTGAAAGAGAGAAACCCAGAGGAAGACCAGAGTGTGAAGGCAAAACCCCCTATCTAGATGAGGACTTGGAGGTTCAGTAAGCTGGGAAACATTTCCATTCCGGGGGAAGGTGGCAGTTTTAGGGCATAAGTCTCCAGTCTCCATACTATATGACCCTTCAAAAATGAGAATTGCATTTAAGAGTATTAGACCATGAGGTCAGCATAAGCAAATAACCATTAAATAATACTTAGTGCAGATAAAATTAATGTGTGCATTGTCCTGTGCTGAATTAGCAATTGACTTTTTGCTTTAAGTATCATATTTAACTACAGTATGTATCAGTTAACTATTCTGGCACATGGTTATAAAATGTTTGAATCTGCTATAAGCTTTTACATCAGATTCATACGATATTTAGAACAGAGATTTGTCCTCCTATGGTGGTATTGGAAAAAACAGAAACTTTTTAAAAGTTCTGTACTTTAACTCAATGGAAAAATTCAATGCTACTGCTTGGGGGGGAGAAGTAAATACATTTGTCTTTTTGGAGAGAAACATAGATGGAGTTACTCCCCCTACATAAGCATTCTTGATAGGAAATTATGATAATACATTTTTCTTTCTCCCTGTGCATAAGCAGGCTTGCAAAGTAGTACTGCCAAAGGACCAGAGTAGTTACATCTAGCACTGTTCACAATGCAGTGATGAAATAATTGAGATGGAAACTTAATACAGGAGTGGATTGAGCTGTAGTGATTTCAAAGTGGTATGTGAATATGAAACCAGTACCAGTAGAAACCATTTATTTGTACTATGGTTTGTAACATTGACTTATCTGTTTTTCCTTTGCTGGTTACCACCACTGCAGAGTACTTACAATTTACTCCTAAACACAGTTTGTTTTACTATACAAGTGTTAAATAGTGAACGCTTGAATACGCTGTACAATTTATTATTAGTTACAGGGTTACTTTTATGTAGGAGACCTCTGTCAAAGAAGAAAACATAATGATATTGTGGTAATATTAGTTTTATCAAATACCTGTGATCTGCTTTAAACTTTACATTTTTCTTGTGGTAGATGGTATTCTGTAATTAGAATGTATCTTCATAAAAGGATTGACTTTTCCTTGGACTACTGCTTCTGAAATAATGCAGTCTGTAACACTTCTTTGTGAATAATGTTGGCCAGTATCAGGAAGCAGCTGGGTGTTACCTATACAGCCAAATGCAGCAAATGGGTTTTTAAAATGCTCTGTATCTTCCATTCAAGTCATCATATTTTTCAATTAAAAACTGGTGCTTTATTCACATTCTAAACTATCGTTTCTTTTAGAGTACTGCTGAGTTTTTAGGGTCTTCTGCAGTTCTGAAAATCACTGTCAGTTTATATTTGCCCTAGCTCAAGATCAACTGAGTGAAAGATAAGCACCTTAGACGTGTTCCTCTCCACTGACAGCACTACTGAAGGAATTAAGACTCTTTTGATATGAAATATCATGGGGAGGAGAAAAGCCCACTACTCTGGAATGCTTTAAAAGCACGCTTAGGTGGAAGGCAAAACTGGCTTATGTTGATGGGGTTTTTCTTCTTCTTGCATTTACTGTGTGGCGTTCTAA